TCTGCCACTCAGTGACTCATTTTGAAGGTGCTCTTCAGCTGGTTATGACAGTCTTTGGGGGTGTGGCTTGAACTGCTAACGTAGTCATGACAGAGTGGAGAACAACATCTCTAAACAACACGGGCGTTTCCAGGGAGCTAGCGGGGATGGCTGGTCGAGACTACAGTTCTGACATAGGCTCCTGGTGTGACCCTGGATGAGTTATCCAGGCTCAGATTCCCAGAGGTCTTGAGGGTCCTCACTTCCATTGTTTCCCATCTTTACAATGGGGTTCACAGCCCTGTCTCACTTCATGGAAGTGTTGTGAGAATAAACACAACATAAGAACTTCAGAGAGGCTGCTGCATTAGTCTGTAGCTGCAAAAACAACGAGGAGTCCTGTGGCACCTTCAACACTAACTGATTTATTTGGGTATCTGCTTTTGTGGGCCCAGACCACTTTGTCTCCATGCATCTGACGAAGTGGTTTTCACACACAAAAGCTGATGCCCAAATAAATTGGCTAGTGTTTTACGGTGCCGCAGGACTCCTCCTTGTTTTTACAGGAGAGCTCATGAGATGCTGAGATACAATGGGGGCCATAGGAATCCCCAAGAGAAATTTTTGCCAGTTAGCTTGCACCATTCTGAGCGTGGCCCAGGTGGTACATGGCCAGGATTCATCACCACATTTGGCCTGCTGGTGAGAACATTAGCTTTCCCAGCTTGGCCTGGTTACTGATGTCCAGTGCAATGTGAATGCTGACCCTTTAAGAGCTCTCACCCAAAAGCTGTTTCCATATTAGTATGTTGTTTAAAAATTTCCACCACTTCTGTTCTGCCAGGGACAGCAATCACTGTAGCTCTTGTATTCAGGAGTGGATGGTGTTCTCAGGCAACCATTGGCCTATTTCTACTTCCATTGAAACAAAGCTTCATCACTGAGTTCAATGAGACCAAACATTGAGCCAACTCTGAGTGCTTTGGAAAAGTCCCATCACTTCCATGACAGTCCCTCCCCCCCCTTCCCCCAACCATGTTTTATGAAAATTGGTTTATGAATATAAATCTACACAACTTGGAGGTGCTTTGGACAAAATACTTCATGTAACCTATCAATTTTAATGTTACAGTCAGCTGCATCTGTATATGCCATTGCGGTGCATGTGTCATTCTTGTATGCGAAGTTAGAAATAGGAAGTATGAGACTGTTTAAACTTTTAAATGCCCCTCCCAGAAGCGCAACTTAATGACTTGTAAACAGCTTTGTGAGTCCTGTAAATCCAAAGGAGATTGGATAGTAAAACATGCGACCTGGTATTGGGATTCCATTTTGACCTTGGTAGTTTTCCATGGAAAGGGGCATCGGGGATGTAGAACAAAGATTCCCGCCCTGGTAAAAAGACTATTGAAGCTATCAGGTCTTGGTCTTTGGCTGGCCTGGAAAACCCTGAAAGGATACAAATGGCTGGAGACCCAGGTCAGGGTAAAAGAGTTTCTCTGACCTGAAGATTATAACCAAAAGAAGAACAGTTCTCAAGGGTTAGAATCTGCTTGCAATACGTTTTTTAGTGAATTAGAACTAGCCATTCATTTTCTCTGCATTTTAATTTAGTAACTTACTTTGATTCATCTGTTTTCACTTGCAACCACTTAATCCTACTGTTTGTACTTTGAAAACCAACATGTTTTTATTATCAGGTCCAGTGTAAGTGATTGTTACCTGGGAGGAACTACCAGTGTTCATATCTCTCTTTCATTGATAAAGAGGACAAACAACCTCATGAGCTTTCACTGTATTGAACTTTTACGCAGAAAAAGATGGACTCATTTGGGATTTTGATCCCTTTGCGGGGGTTAGTTTCCTGAGGTCTGAGCCCTCAGAACTGCATCCTCCCAGAGCTGAAGTGGTTCAGTATCTGTATTGCTCTGCTTGGGAGGGGGGCGGTCACCCCAACTCTGTGCCTTATCTGGGGGAGACCCGAGGATCTGACCCCGCAGGACAGGGTGGTGGGGAGCCGCAGAGCAAGAAGGCATGTGTCAGTGGCATGATCGGCATACTTGTAACCGCACCCCATCCCAACCTCAGAGCAGACCTCAGAGAAGAAATAGTTGAAGCATTGGCAGTTGCCCGAGCCCTATCTACCCTACAGTTCCCATCAATAGAACTACAATAGTGGGGAAATTTATGAAGAAAAAGCCCAGTCAGGGAATATTTAGTGTAGTGTGCACAGATCAACAAGGGATACGAAAAGGAAAATTCCTTTTGCTGAATATCAGCAAGTTTCCTGACTGTGATTTGTCCCAAATGGTACAAAACTTGATAATGGAATTGGAATAAAAGAAGCACTTCTTCATGGATAATTCCATGGAAAAAGGTGTAAAATCACCATCAATATTTTTTGTGGTTAATGATTCAATCAGCAGTACTCCTAGGGGGAAAGGTGGAGGTCCCATTGCTTGGAACGTCCAATTACTGGGGTGAAACACTGGGAAATTATTCCTCAGAGCCCACGTTGCATTAGTGGGTAAGAGGGACAGGGAAAGACCCGAGGGATCTCTTCTTCTGTGTTTCTAGGGCACCCTGGGCCATAGTAGCATTAACATCTATATTTCTGTGAACCTTTCAGAAGGGAACAATAGGAGTGCCTATGGGAATCTCCCTCTTTTCTTCTGGAATAACTAACGATGCTTCAAAAGATTCCAGTTAATGGTCTTGGGGCATCCTAGCTCTTGATTCTTTCCAGATGTTTCTCTGGCTAGTGCTTCCTCAGCCTGCTCCCGGGTGGTGTAAGTAGGGTATTGGGAAATCAATCCTACTCTATCGTATTGTGATCAAGAGCTTAAATACGAAGCAACTTGCAGCTGCTGCCTCTTTCCATGTGTGGTGGAGTAATGCCTGGTAACTCTTGTTTGGGGCAGAAACAAACATCTCTGTGGCTAATCCGGATTCGTAACTGGCAGTGTTAGAAGACACTGTTGCTTGGCATTTTGTGGTTCCTTAGTTAGCAATGTGTCTGCCTGGATAAATAGCTACTAGCAGGGGCGTTGGCGCAGGAATGGACTGGGGATGACGGACCCGATGATAAATAGGTTGGTTAACAACACAATCCTTTTATTGACACACGGATAGGCACACCCTTCCATTTTGGTTTGCACCAGCTCGCAGATATGAGCAGTGAACCCCAACTGCTTGGTTCAGATCCATACACTCCCTGCGCTTTGGAGGATTCACATTCAGCTTTACAAGTGAGCCCACTTTGGAGAGGGGATCAGCTGCAAATTTCCCCCCCAACCCTGACACAAATGCCTGCCAAGTTGATAGCATATGGATTTAAGGGGTTGGTTCAGACTCATGACTGATATCCACCATGACTAATTCTGCGCTTGACTATCCTCCATCATTAGGATATGCTGGCATAGGGTCTGTTTGCTGTGTCAGGTGCTGACGATTGATTACACGAGGTTGTTTCCACAAAAGTGTGAAAATCTTAGTAAAGTTGTGTGGCTAAAAATAACCCTCCCCCTCTTCCCTTTTTCCCTGCTGACTTGCGTGCATTTCTTAAGATAGCGTCTGTGTGGCCGCGGGCACTAAATTCACTCGCGTGCACTCTTTAAGCCCTATGCTCGCTGTTAGCAAGTCACATGCTCCATGCACCCGTGTGAGCCTTACTAAGACACACAGATTTTAAAAACAGTTGCTTTTTCTTTTTCTGCACTGCCCATTTTAGGACATCTATTTCCAGCAGTGCCAACCGCAGCGCTGTCTGTTTGCAGAGGCAGGCCCAAAGGTTTCTTTACTCACTCTCACTCTGCAAGTGTGTGTAGCCTCCCTACCTCTTGGCAAAGCACCAAGACACTCAAAGCAAAACTCACTGGAAAGCACCGCTCAAAATGGGCACCTTGCAAAGCATAAACACCCACTTCAGCCTTGTTCCACATTTGCCCAGGTGTTCACCAAAAGTCCCTCTAATGTTTTCCATCTGTGTGTGTTTTTTTCCCCATCCATGTGTGGAATAATTTTATGTGCACCAAGGTGTGTGTGAATGTGCACCACAGGGAAAAACACAAACCTAGCTGTGGGCGCTCTGCTAATTAGCTGGGTGGCACTAGAATCTCTCTTGAGTTGTTGCACAAGAGCGCAGCTAACAGGGAACACTGGTGTTCATCAACCTCGACGAAAATGGCTGAGATACCAGATTTTCATTAGGAATGGTCCAGCTAGCTCTGCCCCTGACCACATAAGGTGACCTTTAAGAGTTAAAGGCAGGCTTTTCAAAAGCACCGTAGAGAGGTAGAAATCCAAGTCCTATTGATTTTCAGTAGAACTCATGCGCCTAAGTCTCTTGGCCTGATTTGCAAAATTGCAACCTAGAGACAGCCCTCCAATATAACTAAAAGGCTTCCTCCTCAGCGGTGATAGCTTTAGCCAGTACATCCTTCTGCACTGTCAAGGTTCTTCCCAGTCCAATGCTGCTAATTCACCCAGCTACATCTACACTGGCATGATTTTCCGAAAATGCTTTTAACTGAAAAGTTTTCCATTAAAAGCATTTTCGGAAAAGCACGTCTAGATTGGCAGGATGCTTTTCCGCAAAAGCACTTTTTGTGGAAAAGCGTCCGTGGCAAATCTAGACGCGCTTTTCCGCAAAAAAGCCCCGATCGCCATTTTCGCAATCGGGGCTTTTTTGCAGAAAACAGTACTGTGCTGTCTACACTAGCCCTTTTGCACAAAAGTCTTTCGGAAAAAGACTTTTGCCCGAACGGGAGCAGCATAGTATTTCCAGAAAAGCACTGACGATCTTACACGAGATCGTCAGTGCTTTTCCGGAAATTCAAGCGGCCAGTGTAGACAGCTGGCAAGTTTTTCTGGAAAAAGTGGCCAGTCTAGACACAGCCCCATAGACTCATAGAACATTGAACTGGAAGGGACCTTGAGAGGACATCAAGCCCAGTCCCCTAGCCTCACGGCAGGACCAACCACCATTTAGACCATCCCTGATAGATGGCTGTCTAACCTGCTTTTAAATATCTCCAACGATGGAGATTCCATGAGGAATTATTTGAGGCATATCCAAGGCTTTTAGTTCCTGGGGATGAAGGGTAATGCCACCGTGCACAATTCAGCCTAGCAAAACCAGCTTTGTTTTCTGCAGGCGCTTCCAGATCTAATTTTGTTTGATTCTTGCAGCTTTAGATGTGAAAATGATCATTGAAATCCTCTTTTTATTGAATGAAAATCTGCATTGATTCAAGCGGGAGAAAAAAAAAGCTGTAAACTGGCTATAACAAAGTTGCCAATGACATTTTTGTACTGATCACAGACATGCCTCTGGATAAACTTTGCATTTCCATAGCGCATTTCCATCAAGAATTTCCAGGCAGCTTGCAAAGGAGATCAGTATGATTTATGTTTTACAGGTGGGTAAACTGAGGCACAAAGTGATATGAAGTCACTTGCCCAAGGTCACACAGTGGCAATGGCAGGAACAGAATCAAGCTCACCATTGATTCTCACTGCCTTACTCTGATCATTAGGTCATACTCTCTTAAGGGACAACTGGTGCCAGCCCAACTCTGTTATTTCCACGGTCAAAGACAGAGTAAAACTGGCCAATGAAAACATCACCCAGAATCCAAAGCGGCCCAGCTGGTGGTTGCATGTTCAGTCCCTGGAAGCCGCTGGTGCAGAAGGTCATGCCGTCACTAATATCCTAGCAGGAAGAGGAATGGCCAATATAAGAACAAATGGCACCTTTCATGGAGGAAGCCAGGTTTTCTTCAAGGGCTTTTCATGCATCAATCTCAAAGGTAGGCAAGTATTATTATCCTATTTTCCAGTTGTGGGGGAAAGAGGCACAGGCAGAAGTGAATTGCTCACGATCACCCAGTGGGCAGAAGAAAGGCCAGAAGCTTTGGCTGCTTTAAGGATCGCCTCTGCCTGTTGCTCTTCCCTTTGACCTTGGATCTCCTGGGTTCTTTCTCTGAGTCTAGCCCAGAGATCAAGGTCTTTAGAGGTTAAGCCCCATTTTTCAGCTTTCTCCTGCTGTGCTTAATAACCTGGGTTTTGACCTTGACACCTTCAAGCCGCAAAACCCAGCCACCTGCAGATGTTTAGAAAGGCTGCTCTGTTCCCCCCGCTCCCCTGAGGGAGATCTTGGAAAAAGCAAATGCAGCTGTTCCATATACGGATCTCATCTGAGATCTTCCCCCCAACTCTGCCCTGAAGCAGGGGTCCTGCAAAGCACCTAGCACCAAGACCAGTCACTGAGTAGGTTTTACAGAGCTTTGCATCCTTGTATCCTGTGTGCTGTCCTTGTTGCCTCTGTTCTGCACCCAGAACAAGGCCAAAGGGCTTGTGGCTTTGTGCATATATGAACTAGCGGGTCTCTAGAAGTTACACAAATCCTAAAACTCCCAGACCCCTGCTCCCCCGCCCCCCACTCAATGCTGGGAATAGATTCCAGGACATGCGCTCCAACCCTCCTCCCAGAACTGGAGACAGAATCAAGGAGTCCTCACTTCCACCCCCCCTGCTCTAACCATCAGACCATGCTCTCTCGCTGTTACCCCTTTCAGACTCTGAACTGTTAGAGAACAGCAGCTAATCTGAATGTTAAACAGTTTCACAGAGTGCGGGCTCTCTTGTGTTTCCGAACTTCCTGCCCGAGCTAGAAATGGAACTTCATGCAGCCCAGCCCTCATCTTGAGGCTGTATTGCCCATGAACCTATGGTGGAATGAGGGAACACATGCTGTCACACCAGAATGAGGAAGACGTTTGTACCGTGAGTGTGTAGGCCTGGGGATTGAGGGTGTATGGGATCCCATTGATGGTGAAGGTAACATCAGGCATCACGTTCAAGTTATTGCATTCCACGGCATACTGCAAAAGGACAGACAGGATGCAGATTGGCCCATGGCAGGTGGCAGGGATGGCTTACCTAGCAGGTTGACCCCAAAGGCTGGGAAGCCCAGCTGTGCTTGGGAGTGAGTTGTATGGATTTCAGCACACAACAGAGGTAGATGTCATGGGTCCGTGGCTTCATATCAGAAGGAGCTATCTTACTTGGTTCTCAGTCCAGGACTCTGGTCTCTCAGGCTAGGTCATCACTAAACAGAAGATCCATGCTGCTGCGATTGATCGATCTGGAGTTCGATTTAGTGGGTTTAGTTAAGACTCACTAAATCAAATTCAGAGGGTGCCCCTATCGGTGGCCAGTACTCCAGGGAGTAAGGAAAGCTGATGGAAACATTTGCTCCTGTCGACCTCCCGCTGGGAGGAAGGCAGAGAAACTCAAAACAAGGTACATCAACACCAGCTACATAATGAATGTAGCTAGAGTGGCGTATCTTGATTGGCCTTTCCCCTTTAGTGTAGACCTGGCCTAAGCCATGCTGCCTCCTATAGGAGCACATGGACCTATTAATCGAGCCTTGCAAATCCCCAGATATCTGCTTTATATCCACAGTTATCTGCACCCGCGAATATGGATGCGAATGTCTGCAGCTCATTTTTGTGGATATGGATGCAGATATAGATACAAATTTTATATCCACATAGGGCTCTACCTATTAGGCATTTTAGTCTCTAACTGCTGCAATCCTGCAAAAGTAATAATTGTTTTAAACTAACAGGACTAGGCCAGCAAAAGCATCTGTCGCTTTTACGGGGACAGGAGAAGGAGGTGTGTCCAGATTTTAATTGAAATCTGACTGCATTGTTTATATACAGAGACCCCTGCTGACATGGGAAAAGCTGTGATTTCTGAGGCAGTAGGACTAGTCACAGCAAGGATATGACCATCAGTGGTACAATGGTAAAGGCAGGATTTCAGTAGCTCATGCCTTTAGCTCTTTACCAGGGCTGTCTGCTGGCATACTGTATAGGTTTGGGCAGGTCTTTAGAAACCTGGAGCCTTCTTCACTCTCTTCTGCTGCAGAGATGCCAAACTTCTAATATTTCTGGAATACTTTGTTTAAGGAGTTACATCGTGGCTGAATATCTAGTATGGAGAGACAGGAATTCTTGCGTCCAGGAAATGTGCTATCCTCCTCCCATCCCTGGAATGCTTCTGATCAGAGCTGTCCTGTCCATAGGATGAATCAGGACAACCAGCCCAGGCCCTGTGCTTTTGGGGGCCCAGCGGCGTGCACCCCCCCCCCCCCACTGTCCTATGGACAGGAGGGACCTGGGGGCTTACAAGGTCCTGGTGCAGCAGCAGCTGGGGTCACTCCCACTCACCATATGGGCAGCAGGAGTCAGAGCGGCCTGGTAGCCTGCTCCAATCCACTCCACCCTGTCCTGCTGTGCCTTCTCTCCTGGCCAGCTGAGCTCGGCTTCTCATTGGTGGCAGGCAGCAGAGAACCCCACCCCAGGATGCTGCCGCGGAGAAGCAGGCCAGGAGGGTGACATGTGAGGGGGAGTTGCCCCGGTCCCCGCACCCAGAGCACTGGGGGGTGGGGTGCCCCAGGTCCTGCACCCCACTTGCTTTTGATTCCACAGTGGCTTACCTCGCCATCCATGGGCACCGCACCAATATAATTTTGCATCTCTTTTATGTCTTTGGAAGGACCCGTGATGAGAGATGTCCCGGTGTCCACTATTGCCTGGCATCCTTCTGCACAGAAGGCCACGGTCCCGCCCACCTGTATGCTGGGGAGGAAGGAAATGGGATAATTCCTGGAGAAATGAGGGTCTAGGGGGAATTGCGTTCCTCTTCCCACTGCCCCAGCATGTGGCTGAGAGCATGTCAGAACTGCCGCCATTCCTGAGTCAGGGGGATGTTGGATAAGACTGGGCACTTGGTTAGAGAGTCAGTAATGAGGCTCTGGTGTCTGCGAGACACTTCCCTAGGAAAGGACAGTCAATTAATTAGCATCAGTGCTTTCTGTGTATATATAGCAGGAGCTGAACTGGGGACCTACAGTATCACCGCATAGGCCTCTGTTACTTCAGCAAAAGGAATAATTTCCTTGGCTGGTAGAAGTTCGTAGGCTGTTATTCTCTGCTTCTAGGTAGGAACAAATTGCCCTTGGCAAGTGTGTGGCATGCTTGCCTTGCAGGTTATCTTCTTAAAGTTGGATTCTGTAGCTGCTGACTAAGGATGGAGATTTTATATATATACACACTTTAAAATGTGTCTGTTTGCAAGTCCATTTGTCCAAGAACTCCTCTTAAATGGTAGGAGCTCGGGCCAAATTTGGATGCCGCTTCCTCTTCTCCTAACTTAAAGCAAGGTCAGGGTTTGATTGTGCCAGAACAACCAGAAGCCCCAGGAAAAGGATTGTTTTCCACAATATACAAAGGGAGAGTCTGCTGTTTGAAGGGACACAATATGAGAGTGGCCACTGAGGGCCGTGAGCACAGGGGAGAGCTCTCCTGCAGTGTGTCCAAGGGTGTGGCCATCATTGCCGGGGCTCCGCCTTCTTGCCTGCCTGCACACCAAGGATATCATATGGCTACACTGCATGGCTATATCGGGATACCAGAGGTGTCCTGAAACAGCTATTCCACGTCTTAAAAAGCTGCCCATTATTTCGAAATATTTTTCAAAATAATGGGTGTACTATTTTGGAATCCCTGTAACCCTTGTTCCACAAGGGTTAAGGGATGTCTCAAAATAGTGTGTTATTTCGAAATTTGGCACTGTGTAGACACACCAGATAAGATATGCAATTTGCATAGTGCAAATTGCGTATCTTATATCAAGTTTAGAATGTGCTGTAGATGCACCCTGAATAAGTAGCCTCCCTGCCCCAAAAGACCGAGACAATGCTGGATAAGTCTGCTAGTACAATAAAAGTGAGGCTTTTCCTTAAATATTTTTTATTCTCTTTGGGTTAGGTCTCTGGGCAAACCTAGGACATGTTACTTCTAAGCAGAGCTGAAAAGTCAACAAGGTCTGCTTATGAGACTATTTCAGGCAACTTTTTGAAGAGAATGTTTTTGTTTTCATTCCCCAGTATGGGACAGCTTTTTGAAGGAATCTGGCCTTTTGGGAGCTAACTTCATTGAAAATCTGCCCACCGGTGTCACTCTGGAAATCTGGCCCTGAGCCTGTTTAAAAAACTGACTCTAGAAAACTGACTTGAGTACAAACATTTGTGTCAAAACATAAGATGCAGTTCTCGGTGCTAGGAGCCCATGTGAACCCTTCAGTCTCTGCGAAGGAGGAAAGGACTGTTGCTTTCACTTGATACTTAGGGCCCTGGGCCATGGAACACACAATGATTTGCTCAGGGTCACACATTCAGACAGACCAGGGAACTGGTTTTTCCATGTCCTAGGCTAGTAGTGTAAACACAGGGCCATCCCTCATCTCCGTTCAAGAGCCAGAGAAGACAGGACATTTGGGAGCATGTTTTCCCCTCAGTGAATCCCCTTTTCCATTGGTTGATAATAATAATATATGGAGATATACTGATCTCATAGAGCTGGAAGGGACCTTGAGAGATCATTGTCTCCAGTCCCTATGGGAAGAACAAATACCATCCCTGACAAATTTGCCGTAGGTCCTTAAATGGCCCCCTCAAGGATTGAATTCACAACCTAGAATTTAGCAAGCCAATGCTCAGATCACTGAGCTATCCCTTCCCCTAGCACCCAATTCAAGGCTGAGTGCATGTAGCTTTGAGGATGAATGGCTTTGTCTCACTGCTATGGTAACTGACAGGGTGTAATGATTATGCCATTTACCTCATCTGCATCCCCCCTCCCCTGGGATCTGCCGTCGTGGGGAACCCCACCCCAGACACTTACTTGTCTAATTGGATTTGCCAGTATCCCTGTTTAGTGACTGGCACCCAGTTCAGAGTCCCGCTGAAATGAGAAGGATCAAAGCCACCAAATAATATTTCTCCCCCAGCAGAGGAATCCGCATTCCTGGAGAAAAGAGGATTGGGTTACAGCCGGGTTTTCCATTAGCAGAAGCATTCCCCATGACTGTAGATAATCCTCTTACGGTGCTCATAGCTCTTTCAACTACTGACTTTTCTCTTCAAAATGTTTAATATTATTGTTTGGACGGTGGTAGTGCCTAGAAGCCCCAGTCATGGGCCAGGACATCTTTGTGTCTGGTGCTGTACAAACTGAACAAAAAGAGCTAAGTAAAAAAAAAATCCCTTCCTGTTGGGGCCCCCCTGCGCCCAGTTCCCTTGAGAACCGGGCCTGCTGCTCCAGCAGTGGCCCATTTGGTACAGACTTGTGTTCCCACCTGCTCATGTAGACTGAGAAGATGGGCAGATCCACCAGATTTTGTGCCATCATATTATCAAACACAGGGGTAACCCCATCCACTGCCAGCGATGGGTAGGCCAGCCCAAGAATCCCATCAAACTCTGAATCCAGAAAAGTGGTTCCTGGCTCACTGACGCTCTCTGCAAACTGCTGATTGCTGACAGTGATGCCTTCAACCTAGAGGGGAAAGAAAAGCCACTTTTTGTTTCTAAACTTCCATTGGAAAACTCAGCAGCAGACCACTTAAAGTGCCATCGCAGAAAAGAATAGGAAAAATTTGGTCTTCTGCAGACCATCTCATGGGGCCTGCAGTAATGGTACCGTAACAGCAGGGAACAGGAAGGGAAGGCGGTCCAAGGATAGGTCCTGATTGTAGAGTGCAGAGCTATAAGGCTGACTCATCTTGGTGATTAGAGCAGGGGGCGTGTCTCGTTGGCTCCCAGCAAGAGCACAAAGGTGCAAAGTTTACTCTGCAGCCCACTAAAGAGGAAGGAGTCTTGCAGGTGGAAATTCTAATCAGCCCCCTTGGGAAGGAGTTGGGGGCTAATGCTTTTGTTTGTAATCTGCATCATGCCTTAAGGCTTTGCTTTTTTCTATGAAGAATAAAGGCAAACATGGGGGGGAAAAGGGGTGAAGGAGTGAGGTTAATGGTATCAGTTGTGTGTATGGTGGCAGGAGTGGGGTGAGGAATCCATTCATTTACAACAGGCGTGCCCTCAGGAGATCATCCTGCACAGTCAACCACTGGAACTCCTTGCCAGAGGATGAGGTGGAGGCTAGATGTTTAACAGGGTTCAAAAAAGAGCTAGATAAATTCACGGAGGTTAGGTCCATCAATGGCTATTAGCCAGGATGGGTAGCAATGGTGCCCCTCTGTTTCTCTGCAGGTGGGTGACAGAAGAGGGATCACACGAGGATTACCTGTTGTGATCCCTCCCTCTGGGGCATCTGGTACTAGCCACTGTCGGCAGACAGGATACTGGGCTAGATGGACCTTTGGTCAGACCCAGTATGGCCGTTCTTATGTTCTGAGTGCCTTCCATATAATGCAGTTTGCCCTCCACTCCCACTGACATCCCTGAGAGCTGAGCCAGGCAGGAAGGAACAATAAAAGATGGGCTCATGGCCTGACAAAGTCCTGCAGTCACAGTGCAATGGACAGGAGAGAGAATGTGATTAGAACCCTTTTAATTTTTCTAAAGACAACTTAAAATGAAAAAGAAAACCAAACTCTGCTCACAGTGACTTGATCTGAGCCAATGATTCCCGACAAACTGCCAGTCCCATACTGAATTGAGAAGGGAGTCCCAACCTCATTGTAGGTGCTGGAATCGGATGGATGAAATCTGGAATGCACAGCTGTAGTAAAACAAGATGCCGTGGTATTACTATTTATTACTTGCATTGCTGTAGCACTTAGGAGCGCTAGCTGTGGACTAGGACCCCGTTGTGCCAGGTGCTGTCCAAATACAGGACAGAAAATGAGGCAACTGAAATCACCCCCTGCAATGGAATGATCAGTTTAACTTGTACCTGGCCAGAGCTCTCTCAAAATGTACTCTCAGAGAGTATTTTCTGTATCACACAGAATAATAATTCTTAGCATTGTCATAATGTATCCGATTACAGTTGGTCTGAAAGAGGAGAGGTTGATTAAAGAAAACAGCAACAAATTGCAGACAGAGAGAGGTTTCCACAGAGCTTGTGTTCCAACACTGTGTCCTGTTTTTTTTACCAAGAACCACAACCCATAAGGAACGCTATGCTAGATGTGGAGTCACTGGTGGCTTGAATAAAATGTTGCAAATAAACATATTATTGCAAGAATTTGATAGCACTGCTACATTTTCAAGTCACCAGGCAATACATAACTGATTCATCTTCACAGCTTTCTTCTGTGATAGGGAAATCAGTATTATTGTCCCCATTTTACAGACAGGAAAATTGAGACACAGAGAAAGAAAGTGGCTTACCTACTACAATGCTAGGCCTGATTCTCTCTCCTCTTCTGAAATCATCAAAGAATGGGATAAAGAAAATAGTAGCACCCCCTGAGGAATCCCCAGGTGGTGGTGCACTGCCACCAGCAAAGCACTAAGGGTACCTTTATACTTGCCATGGCCAAAGATTGATATTCAATTTAGCGGGTCTAGTATAGACTCGCTAAATCGAATGCTGAGGGTGGCTCCAGCCAGCGCCTGAACTCCTCACAGTAGCGAGGAGTAAGGGAAGCCGATGGGAGTGTTTGCTCCTATCAGCCTCCCGCTGTGTGGATGCCGCCATGCTCAGCTTAAGGTAAGCCGACTCTAGCTACGTATTCTACATAGCTGGAGTTGCATAACTTAAGACGACCTTCCAGGTTTAATGAAGACCAGGCATAAGCCAGTTCCTCTTTCAATCCTTCCCTCTCCCAGTGTAGGAGACTTGCACAGAGAATAGCTGCACTCTTCAGTATTCTTTGTTTCTCTTAGATCTTAGGAGAAGAAAGGGCTGTTGGAAGCAGAATACTGATTAGAGCAGCCCTGAGGTTGATCTAATTCATACCATGGGCTACAATGAGTGCATAAAGCCATCTATTCCTCCTCCTTCCCTAGCTCATGTCCTGTGGTAAGCACAGAGCTGGAGTAAGAGAGAATCCTGATTTCCACACAGTCTAGTAAGTGATTTCTCCAGACGATTCTCTGTCCTCGTATAGATAACATTTTCAATACGTCTCACTGCAGAGCGTTGGCATGACGAGGTTCATTGATTGTGAGTCCTTCCCATTTCGGGTGTTCAGCCTGGGAGCCCTTGTAACTGGGCACTCAGAGTCAGAGAAGCCACTTGGGCAGGAGCAATTGTAAGTGGGCCGTGCTCACTGGAGAACTGTATCTGGGAGTGGAGCCAATGTCTACAATTAGACAAAACGGACCCAAAAAAATCAACACCACCTTTTGAGGCCCCTTTGGCCTTTCCTGGCTGCTAAGGAAAAATACATTAACCCATCCATGACCCAGTAATCTCATCCAGTCTCTGTCAAAGAGACATTCCGTGGCACTATGCCCATGGGTCGTGCAGTGACCTGACTTGTTAGCAGCCTGCCCATTGATCAACCCAGCCCTGACAGCTGCAACACGCCTGGCCCAGATCCCTCCCCCCAGTCTGTTCCCCAGGAAATATCACTGCAACTGTCCAGAGCCACCACTGTGCCTACTATTAAGCTGAGTTCCTGGGACTGCTGCCCAGAATCCAGGCTGCAATCTCAATTACCGTGAAGTTTCCAGGACTGCTGCCTAGTGCCACTGATATTACATGCAATGACCTTTAAAACAAATCAGTTGGTTTTTTTTCAGGACCTGGCACAAAAATGTGCATGACCAAGGTTTCCATTTTTGTTACATCCCCTTTTCCTATTGGTTGGTTTCACTGCCGAGGGCGTGGTTTCCAGGCTGGTGCATTCACCTGATGTTGTTTCAGAGCGTATTTAGTTTTGCTTGCATTTTGCCTTAGAAAAGCTAGTAAAATGAGCATGAAGTGGGGGATTTCTCTAACCCCTTTAGGTCTGATTTCCAGTGTTCCCTGTAAGCTGTGTACTCGTGCGGTCGCTCAGGAGAAATTCAAATGCCTCCCAGCTGATTAGCAGAGTGCCTGCAGCTAGGTTTTGTGTTTTTACTGGTGGTGCACATTCACAGATGTCTTGGTGCACATAAACAAATTTATTCTCTACATGGATGGAAAAAATCCACACATGGTAGGTTAGAGGGAACATTGCTGATTCCCCTCCCCCTCCAACTCCCATTTACCTTGGTCTAACTTCAAACATTTCATTTGGCTTACTCTCAATTTACTTTGGTGCTGTGTGGAGAATCAGACCTAGTCTCTGTACTCTGCCCTATCCAAGGAGCAGAAGGAATAGGTTGCTGGTGAATTGCTACTTACCACAGGCTTTGCTGACACAATAGATCGATGGAACCCAGAGATTGGAGGAGCCAGTGTCGAATAACACGGTGAAATTCTGAGGAGGGGTCCCAATAGAAATCTGTCCGAAATACTCCATCTAGCCAAAGAGCAAAGCAACAACCCTTGTCAGGCATAGGCACCATGTGAACCCTCAGCAGAGCCAAGCTCCCGGGGGATAGCTCTGGGACAGATGTTGGCAATGAACTGGGTGCGTTCCTGGAATGGTTGACGCCATATGGAAGTTGATTCTGTGACTGCAGCATGATGCTAGGTGGAAAGAGGGAGCCAGATGGAGCAGGAGCCTAGAAGAATGGCAACACAACTAGAATGAAAGTGGATGGCAATTGCCAACTCCGTTCTGCTCCCATCAATCTCCACGGTGCAGCTCCTGCGGCAGCAGTAAGAGCAGGAACGGGCCTGGGAAGAATCCCCATCAAAATCCGAACATGTCCTGAACTTTGGGAATGAACATAACAGCGGCCAAACTGGGTCAGACCAAAGGTCCATTTAGCCCAGTGTCCTGTCTGCCGACAGTGGCCAATGCCAGATGCCCCAGAGGGAGTGAACAGACCAGGGAATCAGCAAGTGATCCCTCTCTCACCCATTTCCAGACAAACAGAGGCTAGGGACACCATTCCTACCCATCCTGGCTAATAGCCATTGAACCCTGTTAAAGTCCTCGTCGTCACAGCATCCTCTGTGTTCCACAGCCATGCTTAGAACCAACTGTCACAGCCACTGACACTGTACCAGGCTGGACAAAAACCTCAGGTGTGAGAAATATCTCCAATCCCTGGTAAAATTTGTCTCTATATCCAAACCTTCTGGCTTGGACCTGGCTTTACTTGAGTTATTGTATTGCCGTTTTGAAGGGGATTTTGGTTCTTGGTTGTAAGTTCCCGTCACTAGTTTTGTGTCTGCCTAGGAGCAGAGTGGGATTTGTGTGTCTGTGTGTGTGGCCTACATGAAGCACTTTTTGTATGGTATTGATGCTGCCTGCACAAATCAGGACAAAGGACCCACAAAAAGTAGGCCAGGCAGATAGCTATAGCACACTGTCATGCTATTGCTGGCTTTGCTCAGACTCTGTTTAACAGGAGCTGAGCTCCAGGATCAGAATGTGGGGCATTCGAGACTGTTCATGCAAAATAATGTGCTCTCTTTGTTTCCTGTTTTGTTTTTGAGTATCTATGTGCAAAGCCTTTCCCCCAGACCTCCTCCCTTCCTCCCACCCCCATTATGTCACTTACGTCCAGATAGTTGATGAGTGGCTCGTTAGTTTCTGGGATGGCAGAACAGTCTTCAGTGTATTGGACCATGTCTAGATTCTGGGCCTTCCAGAATTTGGACAACTGCCCATGCTCCCTCAGGATTTTCCGCAGGGATTTGTGTCTTTTCAGGGGCACCCTGGAGGGGGAAAAGGCATTCTCCCAGTAAACACGGCCCTGAGCAACAAGAACCCGGGAGCCCAAATTAAACAAAAGCTTGCAGAAGTACAGTCTGGCTTGGCCTATCGGACAATGCATGGCATCTGATAGAAGGTGCATCCTGTACTTGTATACTGGGCAAAGGCAGGGTGGGTGGCGATCCCCAAGTCACACTATTTCCCCGCACTGCGCAGTCTCAGAGCCCTGCCCTGGCAGAAGGTGACACGATCCCTGTTTTATATCAGACACACATACATGGGTGTTTCACAGGCAGAGCTTAGGAATCCTGAATCCTAGGGCCAAGTGCCGAGGTGATTTAGGCAGACGTAAGTGAGAGTGAAGAAGTCTGACAGCTCGGCATAAGGTGCGCAACTCCAGCTAAGTAGAATACGTAGCTAGAATCGGCCTATCTTAAGCCGAGCTTGACAACGTCCCGACAGTAGGAGGCCAATGGGAGCAAATGCTCCGTTGGTTTCCCTTCCTCCTCACAAAAGGAGGAGTACTGGACACCTGCGGGGGTGCCCTCTGAGTTCAATTTAACGAGTCTTAACTAGACTTGCTACATCGAACTCTGAAAGATCGATTGTGGCAGCATCGATCTTCCGCGGAGTGAAGACGTGCCCTTAATTACAAGATAAAGAGGTGGAAGCAGGTGTAGGCCAACAATAAAACACAGTCGAGTTTATGCCTGGTCTTCTTTCCATCCTAGCAGCTGATACATCCTTCTTGGCTGGCCCTCCATGAGTGAGTTACATCAATATAGATTCCTGTACCCATTTACCAACAGGTCATTCTTATGAACCCACCATCTTCTCTGAATCAGGTCCCCAGCCACTGGAGCCCTCTTACCAGCTGTTGGGGTGAGGGGCCGGACACTGGGATTCTCTGATGGGAATGGAAACAGTGCTGGGTCCCTACGAAGCTGGGCCTGGCTAGTGCTTTCCCCCTCGGTTTCATGAGCATCACGTTACTGCAGTCTACCTCCCCACCCAGCAACAGTGTGCTTGGTGCTGTTCAAATCCTGGGGCACCTGCTTCTGTCTGCTGCTGATTGTTTTAACACTCACCATTGCCAGGATCCCTGGGTCCTTGCAAGCCTTGATGCAAGAGCTGCCCTTGCCTGGGTGCTGGGAAGTGAGGAAAGGCCAAGGAAGCCAGCTTACCTTTGCAACCCACTGGCCAGCCAGAGGCAAAGCACCAAAAGGATCAGTCGCTTCATTCTGGGGGCTCAGCGCTAATCCGTGTTCAGCCGCTCTCTCTGACTCGTGAGAATGGGACAAAAGCAGAGCCCTGCTCGCACCCAGTACTGCCCAACCCCAAAGGATCAGAGCCCTGCGATAAGGCTCCTTCGAATGTCAACACAACAGAAATTAATCACAGCACACATGCTCAGCCCTGGCTATGGGGACTGAAAGACAAAGCCAGATTGTTCCTGGAGATGGGAGAGTTTTACCTAAACGCAGGGGAATCTCCCATAGCCTGGGCTCATGGAGTTTCCCTGGAATCCTTCCTTCAATATGGGAGAGGGAGCATGGTTTTGTGGTAGGAGAGAAGATGAGGATCTGGCCACAGACCTTAAGTTTTCAATGGGACTCAAGTTTCTTAAACAACTCTGAAAGTATTGTTCTGAATTTCTCAGCCCCAGTGCCCCCATCTGTAAAATGGGGATAGTAACAGTATTCCCTGTAAGCTGAACACTTGGGTGGTCACCCAGGAGAGATTCAGGTGCTGTCTAGCTGATTTGCAGAGTGCCCACCGCCAGCAGCATGTGTTTCTATTGGTGGTGCACCTCTGCACATGCCTTGGTGCACATGACAAAATGTATTCTGCACATGGGTGGAAAAAGTTAGAGGGAACACTGGACAGTAACACGTCCTTCCCCAGCCTTTCTCTATGGAGTTGTTAGATCTCCAAGGCAGGGGTTATCTCTGACTATATGTATGTACAGCACGGAGGGCATTGAGTCCTGAGCTTATCTGGAGTGTCTAAGCCAAGGGCAGGCAATCCGCGGCCCATGGGGTTTCTATGTGTGGCCTGCGAGACATTTTGTGTGGCCAGCCACGTGCAGGGCTGCCAGATTCTGCAGGTTGTCATCCACATGGTTTTTTTTCCTATTACACAGGCAAGGCCCAAGAAGTGAGGTACATGCTGATCGCACAAAATATTATGAGAGCCGTGTGCTCCCTCTGCAGCCAATCACAGGGCTGCTATGGTGCAATCGACACCCCCCACGAATTCTAGGCATGCAGGCGCCGTTAGCAAAAGTGCCCTGTCTTGGGAGGCTGTCTTGGTTAGGACAATCTTGCAGCCCACTCACTAGCCTCGGTTGCCCCTTGCTGCTCTAGGTGCTTCTGTCATATGTTGACAATGGGATTCACCTCCTTATTGGCCATAAATTGCTGGCTGAGGGTTCCATCCTTCAACCCCGCAAACTCCCTGAAGCTCAGGCTCCCTGTGCACCTTTAGGTTGCTTTCTTCATTTGACCGTTTTCTCCCCACTCTCCCTTCTCCATCACCGTTGACAGATGCAGGGTTGTCCCTAGGGGGCCACGGGGCCTAGGATAACTCCCCCACCCAGTGCCCTGGGGGAGGGGTGTCAGGGTAACCCCCCCCCCGCCTCTACCCTGCTCTTGTCCGCCTCCACCCACCCCCCCCCTGGTGAAGCCACGTGCAGCAGGCCAGGAGAAGGTGATGGGGTGGAGCGGAACAGGCTGCTGTGGTGAGGGGGGGGACACCCTTTCTGCTACCTCATGCCAGGCCCCCCCACACCAGTAATGGTTGAGGCAGCTACCACGGGCCCCCTCAAAGTGCAGGGTCTGGAGCGGCCAAACCATCCTATGGATGGGACAGTTCTGCACAGATGTCTCTGCTAGTTCCTACAGGGCAGTGTCTGAGTCAGGGAATGAAATGACATAGTGGAAACTCCCTTCTCCAATCTGGATTTTCACTCCCCCGTTTCTGGCCCTTGAGATTTCTTTCTCAATCTGAGCAAGAGGCAAATTGCCCCCCTTCTCGTCCTTCGAGGCAGCTTGTTGTCTTACACCTCACAGTCCCTCTTTCTTTAGACCTGCTCAATCACTGCCTTACCTTTACCCACAGGTCACAGACGCTGATGGGGGTTCCTCTCCTAGGCTATGTCTACACTACAGGGTTTTTGCACAAAAACCCGAGGAGCGTCCACACCTCAAGCGTATTTTTGCACAAGGAAACCTGCAGTCAATCGACAGAACAGAGGGCTTTTTGCAGTGTAGGTATACCTCCTTCTACGACACACAACCCCTTTTTGCGCAAGAGTTCTTGCGCAAAAAGGCGTGTGTGGACGCTTCACAGGGGTTTCTTGCGCAAAAAGAGCCTATCGCAAAAAGCACAGGTGCTCTGATGGCCATTCTGTGAATGGCCATCAGAGCTTTCTTGCACAAGAGTGTCCATGCAGTGTGGATGCTCTCTTGTGCAAAAGCACATGGCTTTTGCGATGCGCTTTTGAAGTGTGGACGCGCTTTTTCACACAAAGTTTTTGCCGACAATCTCATCCACAAAAAGCTTCTTGCGCAAAACCCTGCAGTGCAGACAAAGCCCTCATCAGTTACCTCCGCGCTTCGTTTCAGGTTTTTTTTTTGATAGCCAAAGCACAGTTTTGGGGCAGGCCTGCCACCTTCAGAGCAGAGAGGGAAATTGCAAGAACTGGTGATTATTTTTTGTGAAAATGGAGAGTAGTCCTGTGGAACCTTGAGGCATGTCTACACTGGAAAACTATTTTGAAACTAGCCAATTAGCCCGTCATAAGACAGGATTTTCAGGTCTCTCCTCCACGTCGGTCTTCTCTCCTGAGCCTCCGGTCTCTCGCTCCGTCTCTCTCTCTCCTCCTCCAACTGCCTCCCCCCCCTCTCTCTCTCAGCTCTCCTCTGCCTCCTGCCTCTCTGTCCGTCTCTCTCTTTCTCTTCTCCTCCCCCTTCTGCCTCTCACTCGGGGGACTGCGAAGCCCAAACAGCCATTTGGGCTCCGTACTCCCCGTGCTG